TATATATACACACACGCACACACACGCAAACACACACACATATAAATTGCAGTAGTTGTTACTCCATATCATCCTCATGTAACTACTCTCTTTTCAATCCTTTTAATAATCAATCACCACCATCAGTTTCGGCAAAATAACATCGCACTTACACCTCCCTGTTTATAATTTCACATGAATTTCATCGGAATCTTCATAAGAACCAGGCAATTACGCGACTATTTTATCATGCATTTCCGATTGATCTTGAGTACTCATGCTCTCCTGAAAACTTCAAGGGATGACAACTTCTTAAGACGTGAGAGCTTTTAAACTTCCTTTTTTAAAGTCCAAGGTCGATGTTTTCATTTGGTGTGAAGTTTGTATTTCTTCGCTTTCGTTTTTTTTGTTTTTCTTCTTATTCTTCTCTTTCTTCTTTGCTTTTTCTCTTACTTCTTTTTTATCGTTTTTCTTTTTCTTCTTTTTTTCTCTTTCTCGTTTTTACTTTTTCCCTTTTTTTTCCTTTTTTCTCGTTCCTCCTCTTCTTCTCTTCCTGTTTGTTTCCCTTTCCTTTCTTTCGCCTTAATGATATAACAACAGCGATACTTGTAGTACTAGTAGTTGTAGTCGAAGTAAGAAAAGTAATAGTGATAGTTATAATGATGACAGTAACAAAAATAATCTCATCTTATAATTATTTTAAAAAAATCCGGTTTAGCAAGATCTTAACTGAAGAAAATCTATCTAATAGCTATTGATGAACAAATTTCTCAAATGGCTTTTCCGTAATCGAAGAATATACCTTTTTTTCAATTATTTTTTATAACAATATTATTCCGAAGAATACACGTAAGGGATTACATTACGGCTACCAATTAGCGGCGTAAAATAATATGTCTTGTACATAATGAGCGTAAAGAAGTGCGTCTTGAGTGGCAACAAGTCCGGGTTGTGTATCATGGGGGTAAAGAGTTAGGTCTTGGGTATTATGAGTGTAAATAAATGTGTCTTGCGTATTATGAGAATTAATTTTAAGAATCGGAAAACAACCTGGCATGCTGTGGCATAATCGGCTGGTGTGTTGTATAGCACGGAAAATCAGCATAACGAGATGGTATGTCTTTTAACTTTGCGATATATTATGTAATTTCCTTTTATACCACATAGAAACATGCCAGTTGTACAACATAAATCAAAAGTAAGTAAAGTGAATTTAGGCGATGACGTACCCAACATGGCGACGGGGAAGTGGATGAGATAGAGATCCACATAGGAGAGTTTCAGGCGTTCCAGTGAGCGAAGCATCCACGCCTCCACTTTGCTCTCGTGGAGGCCGGTCGGTGGAAGCTGCGGGAAAATCAAGGAGAAGTCTTGTGATTGCGGATACGCGTTGAAATCATTAATAGTATGTACGGTTATATAGCGACTACATAAACAGAAACTGATGCACATGCGTGTACGTACACAAAGTGGGACGCACACTCATACATACAGATAAAAACAAAATACACAAAGACATACGAAACCCCCTTCCCTCATCCACCCTCACGTGTCCCCTTTCCCTCAAACATGTTTACCACAAACAAACACAAAGGAATCCCCAGCCTTATTCACAAACACGCATACTTATCGCACAAACATCCTCCCTTTCTCTCCCTGATATTCACAAACCGAAACAAACAAAGACATCTTAATACCCATCTCCTCTCATGCTCCTTCCCTTCTTTCATACCCCCCCCCCCTCCTCTTTCATGCCTCTACCCTTCCTCTCTCATGCCCCCCCCCTCCTCTCTTATGCCCTCCCTCCCTCTCCCCCTTTCTCTAATGCCCCCCCCCCTCCCTAATCCCCTTCCTCTTCTTTACCTTCGTCATTCTTGCCCCCTTCCCCCCCTCCCTAGCTCCGTCGTTCCTCATGCCTATTCCCTCCTTCGCCTCCCTCCACCCCTCACCTCGCCCTTCCCTCCTCCTTTTCCTCGCCCTTCCCTCCTCCCCTTCCTCGCTCCTCCCCTCCTCCCCTTCCTCGTCCTCCCCTCCTCCCCCTCCTCGCCCTTCCCTCCTCTCCTTCCTCGCTCCTCCCCCCCCCTCCTCGCCCTTCCCTCCTCTCCTTCCTCGTCCTCCCCTCCTCCCCTCCTCCCCTTCCTCGCCCTTTCCTCCTTCCCTTCCTCGCTCCTCCCCTCCTCCCCTTCCTCGTCCTCTCCTCCTCCCCTTCCTCGCCCTTTCCTCCTTCCCTTCCTCGCTCCTCCCCTCCTCCCCTTCCTCGCCCTTCCCTCCTTACCTTCGTGGTCACAAACACCTCCTCCCGCTTGAGCTTTCCTGCCGCGATCCACTCGCCCAGGACGCTCCCGATGACGTGCTCGTTCTGGTAGAAGGCAGCCGTGTCCAGGTGCCGGTACCCGCTCTCTAGTCCGGCGCCGATCGCTCGCCCGGCCTCAGCGTCCGACATCTGGGCGGGCGTAAGTTTCGGTGGGCGGGCGGGGGGGGGGGGGTAGAAGGGTGTTTGGGTTAGTCTGGGAGGGGGCGA